ATCTTTATAGGATTTATTCAGCAGTGACTATATACTACTTCTCTAACAATAATAACTGTACAACGACATATTATGAATATATGTCATTAGTAGTTCTTCTCCCAAGGGCATTAAAGAGTAGGGGTCTCCAACTGTTTAATATTGAATAGAGCAAATTTAGCATAACAATGAGGTGATTAACACAAACATATTGTTATGTAAATCGGCCGATACTTTGCTATTTTCTGAGACCACTGATTACTCAATTTAATTCATATTTATTAAACTTTTCGCCACCAGACTCTCTCTCAAATTTGTTGAAACTTTTTTTTTTTCTTGTATTCTTTCTTATATTCTTGGAAATGAACCCTAATTTTGGTCCCAATTTATGTAAATTTTCAGTTTTTACTAAAAAAAATGGCTATTTTTGTCCCGATCTTCTGAAGGAAAGAGCAGACTATAGATTATTTTGTGAATTTGTGATGAAAAGACGGAACTGGTGGTGAAAAGGTTAAACACACCAATAAGAAATACAACACTGTGTGTTCATTGGCCGGTTTAAAAGTTTAAAAGCTTGTAATGAATGCTACCTGTAGTATTTAATTAGAAATGTAATTCAAGTAAAAGTAATGTTATTTCTATGAACAGCAAATTTAAAAACAGTAAACTATATACTACTGTATTCTGTAACTGTATTCTGGGACACCCGGTCTCTGGTAGCATAGTGGTTATCGCATCAGACTCATGATCGGTAGACCCAAGTTCAAATCCTAACTGAACATCAAAAGGGTCAACCCCTACTGGCCGAGATTCATTCACTAATGAATGCAACTTTGGGGGAACCTTGGTTAAGGTCCGCAGGTGCTTGTGTTCAACCGAGCCTGGTTGATGCCAGGATAGTGCATTAAAATTGCCATTTGATAGAGAGATGGCCACTCAGCCCTGTCATGTAGTCCCAAACATGAATATGACTTCTGTGGTAAAATGGACTAGCACTGGCACTTGCAATTTGCACTTACAAAAAAAAGTCAGGAGAGACAACAGTGACACTCAATGTCCTAAACTGTCTCCCGGCACAAAAACATTATTAAAAAAAAAAGTATTCTGGGACACCCAGCTTCATGGGTTGAATAAAATTGTGGAAGAAATATCCATATGCCACACTCGGACATTTTTGAAAATCAAGTGTACTATCCTTATTTACTACCAGCAGTGGCAGCGGCATGGGGCAGAGGGAGTGATTGCCCTCTTGAAAAAAATCTTGGTGGGGCGTCACCCCTGAAAAATCAAGCTGAAACCATTTGTGTCAGTAAAATTTCTCCCTCGAAAGGCAGGAAATAGCATTTCAGAGGGTCTAGATTTCAAATTTTTTAAGAGAGAGCATTCCCCCAGACCCTCCTGGTAAGGTCACGTCTTTGGCAGAAATTTGGTGAACAGATCTCGCCCACCCATGCAAAATTTCGTGCCGCTGCCTCTGAGTATGTAAAATGTATTTGTCTATTTACAAGTACATGTATGTATCAGCCTAAGATACAACTAGCCATCCAATACTACAACCATTTAAATGAATCTAATGCTTATTATTAGTCCCCGTTCGGACGAAGTCCGAAAATAGGGACTTATGTTTTGACCTCCGTGTGTCCGTGCGTGCGTGCGTCTGTGCGTGCAATTTGATTCCACTTGTGAAGTTATTCCCTTATGATTTTTTTAGCATACAATGTTGCAATATCCATGTATACAATTATTTCATGTTTATGAGTCCCCGTTCGGACGCAGTCCAAAAACGGGGACTTGTGTTTTGACCTCCTTAGAAATGCCTGGACCAATCACAATCAAACTTCACACATACATCATACATCATACATGATATCATACATATGCACGTCAATTTGTTTCACGATCTGATTCAAGATGGCTGAATGGCGGCCATTTTTGTGCTAAAAATCATCAAAATCAAGCATTTCCCGGCTGTTTACAGATGGATTTTGTTCAAACCTTGTGTATACGTTGGACATTATATGACCTTGATGAACATCATTTTGTTTTACGATCTGATTCAAGATGGCTGAATGGCGGCCATTTTTGTGCTAAAAATCATCAAAATCAAGCATTTCCCGGCTGTTTACAGATGGATTTTGTTCAAACCTTGTGTATACGTTGGACATTATATGACCTTGATGAACATCATTTTGTTTTACGATCTGATTCAAGATGGCTGAATGGCGGCCATTTTTGTGCTAAAAAATCATAAAAATCAAATATTTCTCGGCTGTTTACAGATGGATTTTGTTCAAACTTGATATATACATTAGACATTATGGGACCTTGATGCAAATAATTTTGTTTTTCAGATAACATTCAAAATGGCTGACTGGCGGCATTTTGTTTTAATGAATGGGCTTCTAGACCCATATTTCCAACTTGTTTTGACTGATTATGTTAAAATTTTAAATATTCATTATACATCATGTCATAGATAGACAGATATATTGGTTTGACGATCCTATTCAAAATGGCCGAATGGTTGTCATTTTTGTGCTAAAAAATCATCAAATATCAAGCATTTCTGGCATTTATGGATGGATTTCGTTCAAACTTGGTACATACATTAGACATTGCAGTTCCCGATGCACATCATTTTATTTTTCAGATCAGACTCAACATGGCTGTCCGTGGCCATTTGTTTAATGAATGGGTTTCCAGACCCATATGTCTGACTTGTTTGACTGATTATGTTCAA